ATTTTTTCCCCATATTTTTTCCCCATACTTTTTCCCCATATTTTTCCCATATTTTCTCCCCATAGACAGCGTTTTTGGGAACATTTGGGGTTTTTGGGAACATTTTCCCAATTCCTGACCCTTTTTCCCCACTGGATGCTCACATAGACGGGGTTTTTGGGAACATTTGGGGTTTTTGGGAACGTTTCCCCACTCCTGACCCTTTTTCCCCCACAGCCACCTCGTACACGGATGGGGTTTTTGGGATCATTTGTGGTTTTTGGGATCATTTAGGATTTTTGGGATCATTTAGGATTTTTGGGATCATTTTTTCCCCATTCCTGCCCCGTTTTCCCCCCGGGATGTGGTTTTTGGGATCATTTGTGTTTTTTAGGATCATTTCCCCCATTCCTCACCCTTTTTCCCCCAGGATATGCACTAGGATGGGGTTTTTGGGAACATTTGAGATTTTGGGGATCATTCCCCCATTCCCGACCCTTTCCCCCCAGGATGTGGGTTTTGGGAACATTTTCCCCCTCTTTCCAACCCTTTTTCCACCAAGATGTGCACATGAATGGGGTTTTTGGGAACATTTGGGGTTTTTGGGAACATTCTCCCCATTCCTGATCCTTTTTCCCCAGTGGATACTCACACAGATGGGGTTTTTGGGAACATTTGTGGTTTGTTGGGACCATTTGGAGTTTTTGGGATCATTCCCCCATTTCCGACCCTTTTCCCCTCAGGATGTGGTTTTTTAGAACATTTTACCCCATTCCCAACCCTTTTCTCCCCGGAACGCACACATGGATGGGGTTTTTGGGAACATTTGGATTTTTGGGATCATTTCCCCCATTCCCGACCCTTTCTCCCCACTGGATGCTCACACAGACAGGGTTTTTGGGAACATTTGTGGGTTTTGAGATCATTTTTCCCCATTCCTGACGCTTTTTCCCCCAGGGTGTGCACTCGGATGGGGTTTTTGGGATCATTTTCCCCATTCCCGACATTTTTTCCCCTGGAATGAACACATAGACAGCGTTTTCTGGGGACATTTTTCCCATTCCCGACCATTTTTCCCCCAGGATGTGCTTTTTGGGAACATTTTCCCCATCCCTGACCCTTTTCCCTTGGGATCTGCACTCAGGGTTTTTGGGAACATTTGTGGGTTTTGGGATCATTTCCCCCATTCCTCACCCTTTTTCCCCCAGGATATGCACTCGGATGGGGTTTTTGGGACCATTTGGGATTTTTAGGATCATTTCCCCCATTCCCTGACCCTTTTTCCCCCGCAGCCTCCTTGTACACAGATGGGGTTTGTGGGATCATTTGTGGTTTTTGGGATCATTTAGGATTTTCAGGATCATTCCCCCATTCCTGCCCTGTTTTCCCCCCGGGATGTGGTTTTTGGGACCATTTGGGATTTTTAGGCTCATTTTCCCACCCCATTTTCCCCGCAGCCGCCTCGTACACCGACAGCTCTGACGATGAGACGTCTCCCCGGGACAAGCAGCAGAAAAACTCCAAAGGCAGCGGCGATTTCTGCGTCAAGAACATCAAACAGGCCGAGTTCGGGCGGCGCGAGATCGAGATCGCCGAGCAGGGTACGGGGAGTTTATGGGATTTATGGGGTTTTGGGGGGATTTGGGGTGCCCTTCTACACCTTCTGTGGGGGTTTGGGGGCTCCTTCTCCCACCCCCTGGGGGTTTTGGGGGCTCTTTCTCCAACTCCTGGGGGGTTTAGGCGATTTGGGGTGTTCTTCCTCTACCTTTTGGGGGATTTGGGAAATTTGGGGTGCTCTTCCACTGCTCCTGGGGGAATTTGGGTGGTTTAGGGTGCCCCTTCCTTCCACCTTCTGTGGGGTTTGGGAGGCTCTTCCTCCCACTCCTGGGGGGATTTGGGGG